ATTACAGGCTGTTATTACAGGCTGTTATTACAGGCTGTTAATTACAGGCTGTTAATTACAGGCTGTTATTACAGGCTGTTAATTACAGGCTGTTATTACAGGCTGTAATTACAGGCTGTTATTACAGGCTGTTATTACAGGCTGTTATTACAGGCTGTTATTACAGGCTGTTATTACAGGCTGTTATTACAGGCTGTAATTACAATCTGGGTATTACAGGCTGTTATTACAGGCTGTTATTACAGGCTGTTAATTACAGGCTGTTATTACAGGCTGTAATTACAATCTGGGTATTACAGGCTGTTATTACAGGCTGTTATTACAGGCTGTTATTACAGGCTGTTATTACAGGCTGTTAATTACAGGCTGTTAATTACAGCTGGTATTACAATCTGGGTATTACAGGCTTCTGATTCTGAATATTTAAACTGGTTTAAACTATCACATCTCCAGACAATCAGGAATTGTTTTGGGTGCTGACTGGATGCAAAACTTTCTTACCTGTTCTACCTGATTTTTGCATCATCAATAAACTGAGCAGGATAGAGGTCCTCCAGGACCAGGACTGGACACCCCTGATCTGAACCCTGCAGGGTAGTAGGAAATGTTTTTTTTAGTGAGTCTTAAATGCTTTTCATATATACATATTTTTTTTTACATATTTAGAATATTTTATCATTAATGTGCAATCAGCTGATTTTTCTACTGTGGTCTATTTAGTTACACATCTCATACTGAAACAACACAAACATAAACTTTCTCCATCTGAGCTTGGGGGACTTGCTTGTTTGTGAACTGGATCACTCAGATAAGTGAGGTCGCATCCTGTCTGTGTTGTAAAGTTACTAAGTACAAATACCTTGTTACTGTACTTAAGTAGAATTTTTGGGTATCTGTACTTTACTTGAGTGATTATTGTTCAGCCTTCTTTTTACTTCTTCTTCTTACATTGTCACACAGTTATCTGTACTTTCTACTCCTTACATTTTGTTAAAAAGGCAAAAAGTAGAAAGTCGTTACTTTAATTTCATTTTTGCTTGTTTTCATTCCAGCTTGTTTTTGTAAAAAATAAATACTATCCATATAAATTGTGCCTCCTAGATAGAGTGAATTTAATTGTGGTTGAATGAGAAGTATAAATTTATAAAACTCTGATACTGTATTAGTTTGTACACAAACAAATCATGTCACACTCCAGCAGGACATAATCATTAAAATAAAAGGACTGTACTTAACAAGTATTTGTATTTCGTGACTTATATTATTACATTTGACCGCAGCCCTCTGATAGATTTTCATTTTGGGGAAGAGGTTTAATCACCCTTGATATATGTATATAAACAGAAACATATAAATTAGTGCATTCTAAATTTAACATGAATTATTTATTTTTAATACATTATAGTCATTTCTGTATTTTTTTGGGAGGTCACCTCTTAATAGATGTCATTTTGCAAAATCTAACTGCTCATTTTGTATCAATACTTTTAATACTTAAATACAAAACATATCAGATACTTTAAGACTTTTACTCAAGTAATATTCATAAAGGAGACTTTAACTTTTAGCAAAGTAACTTTATGGTAAGATACTTGTACCTTTACTCAAGTATCACTTTATGGTACTTTTACAACATCATGTTCTTCAATGATGTCACTTCCAGAGGGCATGACTCAGCTCAGAAGGCACTTAAATACTACTGATGGCTGGTCCTGATGAAGAGGCTGAGACCAGGATTAGGATGGGTCTGAACAACCTAGAAACACTTGGTAGTGACTGGAAGTCCTGAATCCTTGGCCCAGGCCTGAGGTTGTGTAATCCCTGCACGTGATAAATATTTAAGCTGAATCTGGTTCCTGTGCAGAATTTGGGCTTGTACTTTGAACCAGTTATTTCTTTCAGAACCAGGACTGGACACCCAGGTGATCCTGTCCTTGGTCCTGCAATGGTAACTCTCACCCCCTGAGTGATTTAAGAATTTGTTCTGAATTCCTGAGTTTTCTTTAGCCAAGTCAATGTATGAACCTGCAGATTTCTCTGCTGATGGAGCTCATGAGAGCCGATGATGCAGCTGTCAATCGTACGTGAAATGAGGCAGAGCCTCCTCTCCACATTAACCGTCAGCGCACGTACAAGCGCTCCGTTTTTACTCTTCAATAGAAGCTCCATCCCTGCTTCACCCACAACAGGATATGAAAGATGAGGAGATCAGAGACACAGAGGGCCGGTGCCTGGAGCTGGCACAATGGGAGTGATGGTAATCAGGTTCAGCGCCTGTTAGGAAACTTATTTAGCTGCTTCTCACCAAATCAACAGCCCAGCTGCTGCTTCTGGACCGAACCGGACTGGACTGGAAGACCCCGTCAGCCCACTTTGTTAGGAAACAGATGCTGCTGGTGATGAGTTTCACACTACAGTGATCAGGAAGACCTGATGTGTCACTTCCTGTTTGGATTTTCTCAGCAGTGTTGTCCTCATGATTAAAGGGATCCCTGATTAGTTGTAATATTAGACTTTGATAAACATATATTTAACTGTGAAACAAAGACTGTAAAAATACTGTAGACTGTTTAGTTTAAAAAATTTTAAAAATATATTTTAACACGGATGGAGCCATTTTATTTATATGCAAAGCATTCTGGGTAAATGACGACGTGGATAGATCATCAGTGTGAGCGAGCTATATCCACCCTGAAGGTTAATCTTGGACAATATCTGATGATCGACTCTTTTAAATGAAACCAGAGAGCGTTGACAGAGAGGAGAAGGTAGAAATGATTCTGCCTGGAACTGAAAATATGGATGGAGGACAACAGAGCTGCTTCATGGAAGAAGAACCTCAGCTTAGCCTGTTAGACTTTGCGCTAGCGCCGCTATATTGCCTTATATGTATTAGCTCGGTGCTAGCTCGACAAACAAGCTAAACTGAGGTCCTCCATCCATATTTCCAGTTACAGCTGAGTCGTTTTTGTGTTCCCCTCTCTGTCATGTGGATGGAGGACCTCAGTGACGAGAGGAGAATGTGTAGCGCTGAGCCAATACATATACATGGTGATAGCGATGGCGCTAACGCTAAAGCTAACAGGCTAAGCTGAGGTTCTTCTTCCCTGAAGCAGCTCTGTTGTCCTCCATCCATATTTTCAGTTCCAGGCTGAGTCATTTCTACCTTCTCCTCTCTGTCAACGCTCTCTGGTTTCATTTAAAAGAGTCGATCATCAGATATTGTCCAAGATTAACCTTCAGGGTGGATATAGCTCGCTAGCAGCCTCATGCCGATGACCTAGTTGATGTCATCATTTACCCAGAATGCTTTGTGTGTAAATAAAATGTCCCCGCCCGTGTAACATATTCTTTTTTTTTTTTTTTTTTTTCCTGTAACATATTCTTAAACTTTTAGTTTAAAAATTATAGAAACTAAACAGCTTACAGTATTTTTACAGTCTTTATTTTACAGTTAAAATAAATGTTTATCAAATAAAGTCTAATGTTACAACTAATCATGGATCCCTTTAACAATCTGGTTCTATCATAAAACGTGAATGTTACAAAAATAAAGGCAAACTTTTAAGTAAAATACAGATTTCAGAGTTACATTACAAATAGTGATGCTGATTTTATTTTTTTGTCTTTAATATTTTCTGCACCGGCCCACATTACAACAAAGAAACAGGACCGTATCACCGTGTGGAACACATTTAATTTCATTAAAACAATACTGATCAAAATAACTGAGCAGCTTTAAAAACAGGAAGTGATTAAAAACACTTTAAATGACCTGAACTGTCCCTTTAAGAACCCCGCAGGTCCTCACACACAGTTTATGCCTTTTGTTCTGCTTTTTGTAAAATAAATAATGATTACCGATAACGCGCGCCGCTGCTGTTGTTCTGGTCGCCATGCCGACCAGCTGGTTCGGTCCAAACAATGCTGGCGTTACCCGGCAACAGTGGCACCTTTAAAAGAAACCGTGAGATTGTTCAAAAAAATAAAACCTAAATGTAAAAAGGACTATGAATAAAAATAAGGTAAATAAAATGAAAAAACATGTGATGCACAATGTTTGAATTGAAGCAAGTTTGTTTAATGCAGCAGAATAAATAAATTATTTTTAAAATCCTTTCTGTTAGACGGATGTTCAGAGTCCATGTCAGCCGAGGAGGACAGTTCACGATGATGAAGCCAAACATCAAGTCTGATGTGTTCTTAATTAAACACTGCAGCTCTGTCTACAGCAGAACCTTCTAGCTGCTTCCTAAACCCAGGTCAGAACCGACCGAGGAGCCCAGGAGGTTCCTGATCCTCCATATGTAGATGGAAAACAGAGGAAACTCCTCAGATAAGAGGAAGATAGGCTGCTCCAGGAGACCCAGGAAGCCTGTCTCCTCCTGTTGCTCCACCCCGACCCGACGCCCCGGTACCTCTGAGTTCTGCAGCAGCACCTCCAGGATCCACAACAGGTGGCACGAGTTCTGATATCGGTCCACAGGAAACACTTCCAGCCCAGAGGCTTCCTACAAATACAAGATGAGAACCAGTGACACAATAAAAAACTTTACAAAGCTAGATTTTTTACACTTGATGAGCCCCCGCTTTATTATTATTATTAATAATAATAATAATAAAAATTTATTTAATTCTTTGTTTTACCAGGAGAGAAAAACTCACTGAGATAAAACCCTGGCTAAAACTGACAACTAAACAGAAAGTTTCAAACTTTAAAACTACTTAAAATTCTTGTTATTATGACCCCTGCACGTGAAGCATAATGTTTTCATACAGTTTATTTATTTATTTATTTATTTTTCTTTTTTTCAGTGATTTTTGGTCAACCGTAGCACAAAAACAGCTGCACTGATCAACATGAAATTTGTCAGGACTGTAGATGAGTCTAACTCAGGGGTTCTTAATCTTTTTGACCTCTGGGCCCAATTTGTTGAACATAATGTGACACGAGGCCCAGTCAGACATTACCAATGTACGGATCAAAATTATAATTATTCTAAATCTTGGTTTAAAAGAGACATGTCATGCTAAAATGCACTTTTTTTACATTTATTAACTATTTTTTGTGCAATTATAGTGTCTAGGAGTGTAGAAAACTTTAATTTATTCTGTCCAGTTACTGCAAAGATATTTTTTAATTATTTTATGGGTCAAATTTTTCAGTTTGTTCAAAATCTGCTGTTGCTTATTTCGTTTCATCGTTTATTTCGTCACACTTTTTTCTTTGGAACTACCATTTATGGTAATGTATTTCCGGCCAACTGGATTTCATAGTCCGCCATTTTTTTCCTCGCTGTGTGATTTTGTAGTTCATAGCGTCATGCCAAAAATGCAAGTTCAGAAGTCAAAATGTTTGGTTCTGGGGTGTGTAAACCCACATTATTATCTACATAGACTACCAGCGTCAGAGCTTCTTCAAAGTGCCTGGTTAAGTTTTATTTTTCAAGGAAATGGACCCACAACAGGGCGGAAAGTGCTTGCAGAAAACAGAGGAGGAATGTTACAAAAAGGGTGAGTTATGAACTGTAAATGTGTTTTAACTGTCTAATTTAGCTGTTTCTACCCTCTGTGTCGGAATATGAGGGAAGAAAGAACAGCTGTGTTTAAGTTTCTTTACCGAACCGGTGCTCAGCACCATGTTGTTTTACTTTCACTTTCGCCCCGCGCTGTATTCAGCATGTCTGCGTTGTTTTTAAATCCTGTAG